TAAAAACATAATTTATTTGCACATTCAATTTCTTATGCCCGATTAGAACATGACTGAATCGAAAATCTGCACATTAATGGTGTACTATATGGGCGGGTTTCTCGGTTAACGGTGCGAATACATCCGCATAAGAAATAGCCGTTTCATCTAGTTGTCTTCGGTGTAGCACACCCACATAGAAGTTGAGGAATATGAGAAAGATAAATAATAGTGTGATTCCACCAATAATCAATATAAGATACAATCTTCTCATTATGCGAATACCTAAAGTGGAATAAAGATTAGAAGGAGTTGGGAAGGCAGCTTACGGTTTACTGGCGTATTACCAAATAGAATGGAGGTTACAAATTTCCAAATATAAATTTGATGTCAAATTACATTAAATTTAGATACAAAAGCACCAGCCACTGTGATATTTCCTGTTCATAACTAATAACTGAATTCTCAGAAGGCCAATACTACGATTCAACAATGGCTTAGATCTAGTTATGGCTCTGTTATCTCAGAGTGCTATAATTTTAGCACTTAAAGGGTTGTTTCTTCCTTCGGATCAAAATTGATTGTGAGGAAGAGTATTTGCTGAATCACAGTAGCATTCGAACCTACAAGTAGTAGAAGTACAAGTAGTAGACAGCTGAAAACTAAGTGTGATTTTTCTTCAGCTGTAATTCAGTTGCCAACTCGTACCCCAACAGTTATGCAGTTATCAAGAGATTTTAAGCAGACGGATTCTAACGCAAACAAATTTGAGTTTCTTTCACATTTATTTTGAAGCTGAAGATATGTTCTCTACGTTTCCATTTCTGATGTTTCCAGACTTAAGTCGAGAATATACAATAAAATAACAAAATGTATTTCGAGTGGGTCCATTGATTGTAATCAATATATGTGTATTATGCGCCACAGCATCATTCTCTTGACCTTAAACGTCCTCCTGACTCTTCTTTTACTGTCTGTCGTAGATTACGTAGCCGACTACGGCAATCAGGATAATGAACATAGTTATAAGTAGAAGGATTAGGCGTGAACGATTTTTACACCACCTGCAAATGATGTGCAAGTTAATAAACAGTTAATGAATCAGAATAGAATCAGAATAGACACTCACTCAACAATCATGTCGAACGCAGAACTGTGTTGAATTAAAAAAGGTAATCGAGGGATAAACTAATGCTTAATCGCCGAAGAGTAAGTTCTTGAACGCCGCCTTAGGTGTGACTACATCGGATACAGTCGTTGTTGTATTGTCGTCGCTCGATTTGCGAATGCATACAAAGTACACTACAATAATCACAATAATGAGAATTACTACAATCGAGCTGCCCAAGGCACAGAGCAGCTTGACCCCCAGTTGACAGCAACTGTTGGTGATGCAGATGGGCAGATGGATGCTAAGCAATTGTTATGCTAAAGGATAATGGTTCTTGGCTTACCAGCAGGCCGCGCAGCCAATTAGACGTAGGCACATGACGAGTCTATGTACATTATAAATTGTGTGAGTGATAAGGCGTCAGTTGTCTGATTTGAACTCGTAAATAAGCATCAGCTTACCTACACAATACGCCATTTAAAAAGCCATAAATTCAAATTATTTGTGTCATTTGTGAGCATAACAATTTGAGCTGCGAAGCGAGCCTCGCAATAAAATTTTCCACACGGCTATTGTGCCCCAAAAGCATATTTTCCTTTCAACCAAATTATATTTTATTTTGCTGAAAAATTTTTATTGCATTTTATGTGGCCAGCACCGGTAAATTCGATTAACTTAAGCGGGTGCGGGCTGGCGGGTTGGCGGGTTGGCGGGTTTTTGCTTCTCTGGTCTGGGGGTCGCTCAATTGCTGTTGCGGGACGGAAAACGAACTGTAAAAATAAATTTTCAAAATTTCTTGCCGCATAATCGAAATGTATTTTCTTTTATTGCATGGCTGCCAGAGCCAAAACGGTAAATACACGACGAGACGATTTCACAAGCTGGTCGTTAGTCTCGGCATGGGGCTGGTATGGTACTAGCTGGGACAGTACCAGTAGGACTGTATCTGTATAAGTGTGTGCGGCGATAACAACATTTTAACGCCTTATGGTCCATTTAGGTAAAAGTGCCGATTACGTTGGGCTTAACGAGAAATTATGACCTCTGTGGTGGGCCGCCGCCTGCACAAAAGTTCAAGCCCAAGAAAGTATCTTCATAAAAACGTGGTGAGACAAAGTGCTTTTAGATAAGAATGAGATGCTCTGCGTTGTGCGATGGTTAATGCATTTTAAAGCATTGGTGAAGGCGGAATAAGTAGAGAAGGTCGACGAAATTATTGGGCTAATGGACAGCGCCAGAGGAATAAGCAACTAGTGGGAAGAAATGGCTAAGCTTTAAGCAAATTGTGATCAAACTTTTATAGTTTATTTTAAAAAAATGCTTTGTATGTTATAAAAATATTGGCATAAAATATATTTGACAATCATTATTAAGAAATATATTTCGTGCAACGATTAAATTTTCAACTGTAGATCTCTAGCAACCAGGACTAAATTAGTTAAGTCTCTACCAGTGTTTTAGTGCAGCAACTTAGAATCCCCTTAAAGGCCACAATACTTGTATATATTTTATTTGTGATAATTTCAATACCGTTTTATTTATTATAATTTATTAATTAATTATTTATTTATTTATTTACTTATTCATTTATTTAACATTTGTAACTTAGAATTAATCTTAAATCATTTAAATACATTTAAAAATATATATATATAGTGGTGGTTTTTTTAAAACCCATTATTTATAGGTTTATATGTAGTTTAGAAATAGGCTTAATAAAGTTATTAATATTTACATTGTTTCTCTCTGCGGAAGTTGATTTTGCGTGGGAATTTTCAAGGAAGTACATTGGTTGTGGATAAAGGGGCAGTAGTTGGTAAAATGTTCTCAAAGTATGTAACATGCAGAAGGAAGCATCTCCGACCCCATAAAGTATATATATTCTTGATCAGCATGACGAGAAAAATCGATCTAGACATGTCCGTCCGTCAGTTTGTCCGTCTGTCTGGATGAACGCAAGGATCTCACAAACTATAAAAGCTAGAATAACCAATGTTGGTATCCAGATTCTTCTATGTCCTAGAAAGGACGAGTTTATTTTATTTTTTGAAATGTTGTTATGTTGAGATAGTTGTTATTTATTATAATATATTTAGTAACTCTACTCTTCTCATTTTGTATTATTAAATTCAGTCTCCTTGTGATTACTTATAACACAATCTGTTTCAATATTTAAATCTGAGAACTGGGTGAACTATTTCAAATTTTGGGAGGCTCTGCTATTGTTTTTAACCATTCTATGTATATTCTATCATTTATTCCAATACTAGTATTTGATTTGATGATTATTGATGGCTTTCAATAGTTTATCCTTTTTATTTTATTTGTTAGTGCTCAAGATAAATGTAAGGCTTTAATTTCAAATACCTAGCTTGAGTATATATAATCGTGAGTGGATTTTTAAGCCTTTTTTGTGACCTAATTGAGCTCAATGTTGGCCTTTACCTGCACCTTCGCCCATTTATTTTTCCTTTAGCATTTCTGGCCATTGAGCTCAATCTCAACATTTCTGACTCTGCTATATTACAACCGCAAAAATCTCACGGTGAATTGCCAGCTAACGGCTGCGCTTTATGGCCAAGGATATGGCTCTGGCTGTGGCTCTGGTTGAAAGCAGGCGCATGCCTTGTGCTGGCACCGAGGCGTATGCGCAATTTATTTGCATATGATGACGTTGAAGGCTGCCCAAAGCCGGCGTGGCGTAAAAATTAATGAAAGGCAATTAAAAGCATTCGGAAATGTAATAAAATGCGAAATGCTTGTTTTGAGTGTGTCCGTGTATGTCTGTGTGTGTTTATGTATGTGTGTGTGTGTGTGCGTGTTTACTTAATGCAAATGCAAAATTATATGCACAACTCGCTGTCAGCAATAAATAAACATTTAAAATCGTAATATAAAATATTGTAATGTATGTTTTAACAAGTGGCCCACTTACACACATGCCAGCTACATTTTATGCCAATTTTATTTTGTTACGCTACAAAACTAACACAATTTGTTGTAAGCATTTATGGCTATGAATAATTCAATTCAATTGTTGAACTGGCTGTGGGTGTGAGTGTATTCGTGTGCGTGTTTGTGTGTGTATTTGTGTTCGTCGGTCTGCTTGTTTGAAATTAAATAGATTTTTTTTTTAGTTTTTGGCTGTGCAATCAATTCAAAGCAATAACAAATGTTAGTTTGCTGTTGATTGGCCGCACATTCAAGTGAATAGTTTTCCGCAGTCTACAGCTTCACCTGCCTCTGATGACAAGCAGGATTGGGTGACGACTAGGTGCCACTTTGTTGCTGCCACTGTTTGTTTGGCTTACTCAGTGGTCAGGAATTTGTCAAGTTTTTATCATGTTACAAACATTAACAATAACTGAAACACGCAGACAAAATAATCGCAACCCTGCTGTTCGTTTGGTAGTTGCTGTTCTCTGAGAGTAAGCTACAAGATGCCTTTTGACATAATTGAAAAACAAGGTTTTATGGTGGTTTATGTTTGCGACAACAAAGGAATCGCAAATTTTTTGGTATCAAGGCTTATTTTTATTGGCAAAAGGGTATATATTATAAGTATTATTATTTCTACTACTACTACATATAAGTATTATTTTCCTTTTTAAACAATTTGTGCAATAAAGAGTTTTGTCTTATAAAAGTATTCGAAATAAATATAATGAGGAATATAGTATATACATATTTATATACATATAAATATATGTATATGCCTAGCGCGTAAACAATGCAAGTATACTTATATAAATAAGACTCCAAATGAATGCACAGACTTATATATATTTTTGAATAACGAAACTTAAAGTATTTATTAAGAGCTTTCTGAAATTTTGTTGGTTTGTTGGGTCGCATAAAATATCAACTAACTAATTAACTAGTAATAGCGTGAACCTGAACAAGAACGTAATTATTTTGAATCGGATAGACTGTTCAAGTATAATTTGATTGTGTCTGCATTCAGTAGTGAGAAGCCTTTTTCATCGCATACTCCAACTTCAATGTCGTGCTTAGACATTGTTCCCTCAAACCCCATCTTGAGAGCCATAATAGCAGTGGGAATGGCAGCGTCCAGCGTCATTTCGTCACATTTCTGACTCTTCAAATAATCATTCCCGATAGCGGCGTTCTTTCCGAAAGCTGCTGCAGTAAAGGAGCAATATGCTCCTGAAGGATCGATGCGGTACAGAAATGGTCGACCCGATTCCCATCCGGCAAATAGCAAGAACACTCCGAAGGGTCGCACTCCGCAGGATTGCGTGTACTCCTGCAAGAGAATCCCCATCTGCTTCACCAGCTCGAGCGTTGGCATCCGTTCCTTGTGTTTGGCTAAGTAGACCTCAGCATTTTTGCGTGCACGATCCGCCAGCACCCGGAAGTCCGGCTCCAGTCCAGAATAGGTCATGCCAATGTTTTCACTTACTATCTTTACATTACTCAATGACTTTTCGTCAACAAGCTGCGACTCGAACCAGCGTACTGTCGCAATCACGACTCCGCCGCGGGCCCGAATCCCGACGCTAGTCTCACCTTTAGAGGCGGCCGCCGCTGCGTACTCCACCTGCGCGAGATTGCCATTGGGGCTGAAAGTGGTGAGGCAAAATTCCCACCTGTGACGACTCATTTTTTGTACGCTATATCTGAACTATTTCGTTCGATATTGTTCAAATGAATGAGTTTTCCTTTTACCTAAATATTACACCAGCTGTCAAGTCGGATGAGGTAAATGCATATGATATACATACTAGCAGGTCTTTTGCTAGGCTAAATATTTGTGCTTATAATTATAAGTTTATTTACTATACTTCTCTTCGAGCACTATCTAAAGTTTCTAAAGAATACATTTCTCAAATAGCAAATTAAGTACTTTGCTACGTTTCGAGACATAGGACATACATACATATAGTACATATTTATGGTTATACGTAAATACATAGATACATATGTATATTTATGTAAGTAGTATGATAGTGATAATCAAGACAAGTAAGAAAAGTTTTGCAAAGATATTTCGTCAACCTATTCAACTGCACAGCGTTTTATTGCACATACACACGTATGTATGCACATATGGAAAAATTCAGATTTTTCTACGAAATTTTGGAACTTGTTTACCCTCTTTTGGAGCCAGCATTTTCCAAATATCTTCTTAGTTTGCACCTACTCTTAGAGTAGGATAGGATACTTGAGTCGAAATTGCAGCTTTCTAGCATTTACCGTTTGGCTATGCGTTGCCCCAAGAGAGCCCCAATAATTCAGTGTCCAAGAAAAAATTCAAATAGTATGCCAGTATGGAGTTGTTTTTATTCTTCTATTGAGCCAAAAATCCATGTTTGAAGTTGATCAGTTGAAAAATGCGGATTTTTCATACAAACTTTTGAGCCTGTTTTCCCCCCTTTGCAGCTCGAATTTTCCCAGCTGTTTGGGCTGTACGTTGATCACCAATCAGTAAGTCAGCCAGTCAGTCAGTCAGGACAAACTGTTTCATACAAGCAGCGTTCCAAAGTAAACAGGAATTTTTAAATCTAGCGCCCCCTGGTGGCGCTAACTATATGTTGTCCAGTGAGAATTTCATGACATTTCATCGATAGGAAGTGAAAATATTGCGTTTTAAGTGTCAGTATGTTTGTGTTATCGGTACGAAAATGAGCTTCGAACAAAGAGCCAACATTAAATTTTGTTTTAAAATTGGTAAAACCTTTACCGAAACGTTTCAATTGATAGAAACATTTTATAGCGATGATTGCCTGAGTGCACGAATGGTTTCAACGTTTTCAAAGTGGTCGTGAGGACATAAATGACGATCAACATCAAAATTCGTGATCACCGAAAATTCCATCGAAACTGTGCGTGAATTCATCAAAAATCAGCCGAAATCATCATTGAAATTGCTGGAAATGGAATTGAACATCTCTAAAACATCGATTTATTGCATTTTGACCGAACATTTGGGCTTACGAATGGTGTGTGCACGGTTTGTTCCGCACAAATTGTCTGACGACCAAAAATTGCTCAGAATTCGTATAATCGACGCCTGTGACCGATTATTTGACCAAAAATCACATTTTAACCATTAACCACTCGCCGTTGTCACCTGGTATGGCAGCGTGCGACTTCTACATTTTCGGAAAAAAGCATTTGCCCATGAAAGGAAAGCGTTATGCAGACTCAAAAGGCTTGCACCGGCATACTGGCGGTCATACCGGCCAACGAGCTAAAACACTCGTTCGACATGCTTTTGGATCGTGCAAAAAGCTGTATTGAAGCAGAAGGAGACTATTTTAAAGAAAATAAATTGATTTCGCCGAAAAAACCATTTGTTCCGTTTTTTTTTTTTAAGTGCTGTTTATTTTGGAACACTCCTGTATATACTTATAGAGATAGTAATATTATTTAAATGAATTATAATAGTGAAACATAAGATAAATGATAAATATCAAGTTCGGTTAAGATAAAGTGATAGATGAAAAGGCTCTTACACTGAAAGTGATTATGGCATCTGGGCCTAGAATTTGGAACTACCACTACGCATGTGTGTACTACGACTTTTCATGCTTTTAGTAAATTTATGTGAAAAATGTTGTTGCACCTTTATTCGATTTGTGGCATGTGGAATGATAATTCTTTGTAATCATTGTTCGTTATATTATTTGAACACTCTAGACCGCCAGTTACATCGCAATAATCGCCAAATAAAATGTCCCGGAGTAATGTTCAGGCGGGCACTGGACCACTGAACTATAGGGGAAAAAAAGGAAACCAAGAGACGGACGGATGGACAGGCGTACTGATAGCGAAAGAGTCGTGAAGGAGTACCGTGCATTATTGCGATTTTACACGCTGCTGCACTCGAAAATGAAACGGACAATAAGCTCACTTGGCTGGGCAACAAACAAACACTATATAAGTTAGCCAAGCGAGCGTTACTAGCAGCAGCTGCCCGAAAAGGCGAAGAGGCGGGTACGGACGGCATGGACGGCGTGGACGGCATGGAGGTGGCGGCCATCATTGCCACTGTCCGCCGCTAAAAGCTTTTTGATTATGAAAAATGTTCGAAACATATGCTCCAAATGACTGCGAAGCGTGCAAAGAAACTCGTTCGTTTGCCAGCGGTCTCGTTGCTTTTTACACTGCTACACAAAAGTATATATACTTTAACATTGTTTGTGTGTACATAAGTAAGTGTGTTTTATTTCGTAGCTGCAGTTGTGGTTGGGTTTCTTTTTTTAGGTTTTTTTTATTTTTGTTGTTTATTATGGCTAACTGTTCTTGCAGTTGTTGCTTCTGCTGCTTCTGCTGCTTCTGCTTATCTGTCTGTGCGCATTGTTAATGGTTTCTCCATTTTATTTTAAAATTAATAAAGCGACAAATGCGAAAATAAAGGGAATAAAAATCGCAAAACTATTTCAAGTGGTTGCAACTTTTTCGAAACAAATGCTTCAAAAAGTCGACTCAAATTTGCTTTTAATGAAAGTGCCTGTGTGTGTGGATTTCATTTTGAGAAAACAATAGAGCCCAGATGCACCCAAGTGGGACTTGGACATACTACGGTCAGGCAGTGGCAACAGAAAAGGTAATTTAAATTTAACGGGCTCCACGCTCGTGGCGAATCAGTTGTAGAAACTAGGGCCTGTAATCATTATTAGGGGTCTTAAAAATTACAAAATGATGATTATTTTTCATTTTATTCATTCGCTCACAATATAGTGATTAATTTTGAGTTTTACTTTACAATAGTCATTGTTTTAGAGGAAAAAGATAAAACTCATTAAATAATGACTATTTTTAATTTTTTGTTTTTATTGATCAAAACATAAATCTCGAGTTGGAATTGTCCCTACTTTATTCCTAGGGCATAAGAACAAATGTTATACATATATCTTCAAACAATAACCCAAGACGAAAGAATAAAAATAAAAATTTGTAAATAATAGTGAAAATGCATGGATAATCCTGAAATATGATATTGGTAAATAATCATTATGTGGTCCTTGGTAGAAACAGCTATTAATATACATATAAGAAGAATAAGTTGTTGTTTTTTTTTATTTTAGGTAGTTTTACTTACATTTATAACCACTGTATCCTTACACTATTTTCTTCTTCCTGCTGAAAAATTATTACCTTCGGGCCACTTTTAAGTCGTTTGGTGCAAAATTACTGGATGGGTGAACAATTCCAACTTTCATTTCATAATTTGTGAGAGACATGGTCAAGGGTGGTCAAAAATAAAATTTGCGATTAATTAATACAAATAATAATTTATGCATATGCTCAACAGAAAAACGTCAACAACACCAAGTCAATTCCGTTCTAATGCGAAATCCACTTTAGATTGCGATTTTTTTCTATGCCCTTCAACATGGTGATTTTTTTGTATTTCTTTGATTTTATTTCTTGTAATTATCGTTTTATCTAACAAAATTGTTTATACATTCGTTGAAGGGGCAACTTCGGGCAAAAAACATAGACTTGTCCTTTCATAAGGAGATTCTGCATACACAGTTCAAACAGTAAGGTGTTTGTTAGAATCTGTACAATTAAATAGTGAATGTTGCTGGCTTTGTTTTCTGCCTGATTGTCCCCAAAATAAGTGTTCTTCTGTAAATAGTTGCGTTAATTACCCCTCTCTGTGAACTCTACACGCCTCCCACGTTTTGTCACTTTAAAACCCATAAAATACCTAAACGCCCATCAATTTTAGTGACGATGGGGCCTTTGAACTCGGAGGCTCTAAATAGGCGCTTGGCAACGACAAAAAAAGAAAAAAAAAACTTGTGCAGAGAAAGAAAAATTTGTCAACGCGTTGGTAATTGAATGCGCCAAGCAAATGGGTGAGTGAGCATTGTACATATGTATGCGTGTGTGTACGCACACTATATTTTATATGTATGTATGTGTGAGAGCAATAGCCTCAGACCTAGAAGGAAGAGAATGCAGCCAAGGCGAAGATGGCGTTGCAGGCGACATCTAATTACAGACAGCTACATAGACACACACACACACACACACGCACACATAGACAAACGCCAAACATGCTCAGATGAGAGATCAACGTAACTGTAGCTGCAACGGTTGTTGTATTTTTAGCCGCCAACGGAGCGACCGAACGAGATGGCCTGATCGTTCTTGTTGTTCTTGATATTTATAAACGATAAAAACGCTGCAGGCGAAGTCAAGTGCATTGAGCGCGCTGCATGGGCATCAAGTATCTTCTGCTCGATCTCCGGACTGCCGCCCGCCACCCGCCTGCTTGCCCGCCTGGCTCGTTGCCTGGCCAGAGACCAGATGAAGCCATTAGCCAAGCAGGCAGGCGTGCATCAATGTGAATGAAGTTTGGTGCTAGCCTAAATATGGAGCGCTTGGCCGACCGGCCAGCCCGCCGTCATTGCAAATGGAGTTGCTATATTTGGCCAAAGTGTGGAAGCACATGGCACAGCACTCGAGTTACAGAAGACCCGCATAGTGGACGCATCAAAATGCACGGCCCATGGCTTCTTTTATTCTCCCAAATGTTACATCAGCATGGGCATGAAGCTGTTTAATCGCTTAGAAATTCAATTGGCGGGCCATGTGTGTGTGCGTGTGTGTGTGTGTGAGCCCGAAGAGAAGATTCTGCTGAAG